CGAAGATCGACGAAAATACCAATCAGCAACGGTATCGATAATCGTCTGAACGGAGGAGACGGTGCAATACCATTATAACATGTCAGAAAAGGCTCCAGAGAAGCAACACCACAAGTGGGAGCTTATACTCCAAAAATGAAACATCCTCACTCAACGGGAAAAAGTATGACCTAGCTGATGAGGCCGCAAGGCATCAACTCCACAAAGCTGCATTCTCTTCAGCAAAGTGCACAGCTCTGGAGTTCTTAGCCTCTGTGTTGAATCCATTCTACTCAGCTGTCGATATCGACGTCACGAAGCCTGATCAGGCCTGTGTTGGTGTTTTGGTAGAATACAACTTGGCTGATAGAATCATTGAATGAAAGTCTGTCAGCGTAAGAGTGACATCCCTCGGACTGAAGCTACAAAAAGCAAAATGTTAGAGATCAATGCGCCCAATTTCCAGGAAAAATGACCCCTTCCATGAGGAACTGGATTGTGCCCTGTACGAAGTGCCAAATACGGAGTTCCTCATTGTAATAAGTGATGTTAATGCACGTCGGAGGACATAGAAAAATGAAAAGGCATGATTGGAAAGAACATCCATGGTAACGGTATGAAGTTGCTGCAGTTTTGTGCAAACAAATGACGGTCCAGTATGAACACCATGGAACGTCAAGTATCGAAACGTGCATCAGCATACCTGACAAACGGAAGCTTATCTACAGAAATAGATGATTGATTTGATATTTGTATCGTGACTTACGATGCGCCGTTATAAATGTTCGCGTAAAGAAAGTTACAGAACTGTCCAACAATCACAACCTTGTTGCTACACTACGCTGTAAAAAATGGAGTACCACGCGACGATCTGGTGGCAGAAGCAGTCAGAGAATCAAACGAAAAAAAATGTTCGGCGGATACGAGAGACAGACATTTGTAAGCGGCAAACCACACGACAGGTTCGATACCAGGGATGTATCGGCATTTCTATTTCGTAATTAGCTGACGATTTACTTCCTCATTTCATGGGGAGCTACACCCTGAAACATTAAGTGTAGCTGGATTTCACTGTCGTTATTAAATTTTTGAGGTTTACGAAGAAAGGATTCCAATTTACTTAACAAAGTAGCTACTTATTAATTTGCTGAGGTGTCCACGTCAAACGTCTTGCATAGGTTATTATGCTCGATGAACGATAAAGAAATATCAGAAACTTATCATATCAAAGGCAGTCATATCCGAAACTGTATATGCGAAAAGCTGCGAAGTCACCCCGTAAATTAAATGAGCAAAAGAAAACATTTTAAAAAGGTACAATAATCAGGACAGGAGTTCGTACTTATCATATGTTCAGCTTTAGCACGGATATACCAACACAATTTGAACAGGATTTTAAATGCCAATCGTTACTTTGGAGCTGCATCTTATAGTCGCACTGTCCCTTGCTCATAGCTGCATAAATGAACTTTCAGGCTCGGCAGCTTCCATGGCATAGCAACTGCACTGAACAGATCGAAAACCGCATGTTGTGTTAGGTTTAATAAAAAATATATTAACATGAACTAATATACCTCAATCATAATCACCTTGTTTTTAATAACGTTGGGAAATGAAGCCATCCCCCTAAACGTAGCAGCAGGGGGCCAAAAATGGCTTTTGCGGGTAAACCAAGAACATTAGATCACCGCGATACGAAGACCGTTCATTCCTTGTCTTTTAACGAAGGAGTAAGAACAACGGTTAAACTGCATGCAGCAGCGCCGGAAGAAACGCATGAGGGTTGAATTGCAGCACCACTTAAGTAATGAATACGTTCTCTTCCAGGAGCAGGTGACCTCAACAGACCTGAAGATTAAGAAACGGAGATTAGCCCTGCTAGACATACTAGTTGAACATAAATCATTTACATCAGGACATAAGCTTGTCGCGTCAGAGCTGAAATACGATAAACATCGGCCGGAAGATTAGCATAGAACCTGGAGAAACAAGGTAGAGGCAGATCTGCTTACGGAGAGGAATGTGTCTTTCTGCGATGCAGTAACCGTTGCCTTATAGCAGACGTGTTGTAAAACGGCCAGCACATCGGACATTACAGTCCAGGCCCGTTCTGCGTATGCAAACGGATCATGGTGATGAATATACACACATAAATGCTGTCACCCTTTGGCACAAAAGAAAAGGTTCGCTAGGAGCAAGGCTGTAGTTGCATTACAAGAAAATTTTTACCAAAGCAGTTACAAAGTGTCGTACAAACGAAATATTGTCGCTCAAACACCTCACCGGACTTCTTCACTGGTCAGCAGAAGGCTGATCTTGTTTCTTGGGAAGTTTCTTGGGATAGTCAAGTTTCAGCATGGATAAAAGTGCATCCTGTTTGAGGAATATTTCAAGCACGCTACTCATATTTTGCTCCTGCATACTTTCCAGCCACAGTTGGTAGTCTTTGGTGGTCTGCTGCCGTCGCTGCAACGCCTCGCTGTAGAATTTTGCCCTTATCTGATTAGGTGAATTACGCCATTCGGTTAAGTACTTCTGGATGGCGACGCGTCTTTTGACATCCAAAGATTCGTCTGAAGTCGTTGGCTCTGTTTCAGTGACCGGCTGAGGCTCTGACTGAACCTGAAACTTATTTTTAGCGCGGCTTTGACAAAACAGACTGAAGCCGCTGCGAGTTTCGACTTCGGGACACTTGTAAACCTTTTGCATACACTTTCGATGTAGCAACACGGATGTGCGAATTAGTTGCACGTATCGCGGCAAGAGCCGGATCATCTCGAACATGCGGGCTATCACCTTATGCATATTCTTTGACTCCATATCTTTCAGCCAGGTGATGATCGATATACTGTAGTTACGTTTCATCTCTGCAGCCTGCTCTCGAAATTGATCTTGCTCGACCCCAGTAAGTTCGTGCCATTTCACTGAGCAGTTCCTCAACTCGACCAGTCTTTCCTCTTTGTCCATTCCTGTAACAGCAATTTTCTGAAGTCTCTGCTTACAGAAAAGCGAGTAACCGGAGAACGGGGGCGAATCGGGGAAATTGTAGCTTCGCATCAGAGCGTTTAGCGATCGAACTGTGTTGTCCGGCTGCTGCGGACTCCGCCTGTAAAGAAAAATTATTTATGCCTGTTAACTTCAGACTGCCGGTTACTGATATCCTTCAAATATAATCTAATTTTTAATTTATTTACTAGTTACCATGTGCCGATTACGTCACTCATTTGGTACGTAAGTATGTATCACCAAGTCACCCAAGTTCGTTGACATGACCACACCAAAACCTAGTGAGATCGTGATTGTTCCCAGATCATCAGGGAGTAAGGATACGCAAGGCTGCCGTGGTTCTCTATTGGTTTCTACATCAATGAACGGATGCCCGTTCACCACCGGTTAAACAGGAGCAGAGCGAGATACATTTCTTGTCCAATAAAATTAATTAATAATGTTAATCATTTGTCTTGAACTGACACCTGCATTTACACACCTATTTGCCATGAAAATGATAGCGTTTACAAACAGATAGCGTTTGTATGGAAAGACTAAACTGATAAGAATATAACCAAAGTAGCAGGAGTCATAACCTTACAAACATTTGATCTTATTCGAGTTACGGCATGGGCGTGAATTTAAACCTAGGGAAATATTCGAAATTCAGTACAAGACGCGTCACGGACATCTGACAGGGACCAAAAAGAATCTAGTTGATCTCTTAATCATTCAGACCTCCAACCTTTCAGAACGTCGACAGCAACAAATGCCTCATCCATTTTCGTATCAATAAGGGGACCATCATTGCCAAGTCTCCATGCCCAAATTCGTCTGTCTCCATCGATTTGTGATCACGAACCTCCATATTTCTGTTACTTCATTGTACCATCTCAGCCGAGGTTTACCGAGTGGGTGCTTACAGCCAACTGGGCGCCAATCCGTCACTACTGCAGTTCACTGATCTGTCGTCAATCGTGTCACATAGGCTGACTAGAGATGCAAGAGGATATCTGCGGGACATTTGTTGTTTTTGATTTCCATTCTATCTGATATTGACAAATGATATTGACTACTGTTATGCTTCTTGAGCAGAACATCCAACTGCAAATCACCCCGACAAAATTGGGTTCCTGGTGACGACCGTTTTAGGAACATAAAGCACGGAAACTACTGTGAGGAATGATGGCTCTGATAAAGTAGTGCAACAAGGTTGTACTCCTAAAACAAAAAATTAAGATGACGCATAAGTTTTACTGAGAAATGGAGGAGAAGCAGTGGTGCAGTACGCAATTCAGAGGTGGCGGATTCGCATTCTATATGCAGCATAAACATCACCTGAACAAGATATACAGTAAACTGTTGTTCAGCTGAGAAAAGTTTAGCAAATCATTGACCCATTAACAATACGGTCAGTATGATGCATTGGTGCATCCCGTCAGATCGTAGACCGAGATGTGCTCAGTTAATACATGCCCTGATCCGCTTAACAACTGAACATTGATCAGCCACATGTAAGCCACGATACACTGAGCATCGTTTCTAGCATAAAGATCGTTCAACACTGAACGGAGTATGAAATATTAAAAATTATTAGCTACAGCATTCAAACAAAAGATCGGATAGTGTCGCACTGCTGTAATCATTTCAGATCTTACAGTTATATCGTTTCTGCGAACGCCCTACATAACTTTGGCTATATCACATTTTCTAACTAGATATTCAATTCACCCTCTTTTCAACGAAAACTAAAATGCATAAATTTGGGAAATGGTTCCATTAGTTCTTTAACTGATAAAAATAGTCAATAACTGTTGGTTTCATTTTCATCTTCCATGGCCGCAGTGAGAGCTTCCAACACTCCTGATCCTGCGTCAGAGTCTGAGTTTCAGCAAAAGACAACTGGAGTCTAGAACAGACTCCTTCCATATATTTGCACCAGGTTAATCTTGGCCGTCTCCGGATTTGCAACAGTTGCTTAGAATTCCTTTATGGAGGCAGTCGCAACACATGCTCAAGCCATCGCAGCTGTGAGTGCTCAATCTGGAGAAGCAAAGGCTGTAATCCAAGACTCTTCCGGATGTCACTGTTCCGGACCATGTCAAGACACGCACCGGCCTCGACTTCTCTAAGAAAGCCCATGTCAGCAGCGAAGGATCCGGGATCGAAGTTTTTCAGTGATGATCCACGAGTCATGACCGTAGGTAAGCATGCGGATGAAGATCGACTTGAACACAGAGAGCTTAGTTTTCAGACTGAGCTCTGCTTTAGTCACAGTGGGTCGCGCTAATTCACGCAGAACGCCACGGGCTACTCCAATTCGCCGGTTGATCTGTTCCTCCAACTTTCCATCACTAGTAAATACAATTCCGAGGTAC